TTGAAAGTGGTCTCCACAGTTGTTTTATCCTTGTGTTGGTTGATGGGTTATGAGGAAATGGAAACCTTATTCCAGCTGATTGGAAAATCTTGGTTAAAACAATGCTCTCTCCTGCGCAATATGCAGGAATGGAAAGACACGGCTGCCATTCTGGCCATGGATAATTTACAAAATATTTACAATATTGCTGTGTCTGCAGATACGTTAAATGGAGATGGACTCTTTGTTACCATAGCACAGCAGATCACCATCTCTACCAGGGGATTGGCACAAGTGGCTGACATTGTTAGAGCAGCCTGGTTAAAAGTTCCAGGCGAAAGGTACCCTTTCAGGGTCTTTTGCCAATTTGCATCAGGGTCCTACGGAAGACAATATATCTTTCATTAACAAATTGCAAAGAGCGATTGAACGGCAGGTGGAGAATACTGAGGCTGCTGATATTTTGATGAAAAAGCTGGTGAAAATGCTAATGTGGATTGTAAAACGGCTCTTCAGGCTATTTACAATAAAGCAGAGACTGACATTGCTGCCATGCTAAAATTATGTCAGAATATTGGGACAGAAACAGACAAGACACAGATTTTGGGCACAGCCATGGCTACCTCCTTGGACTCGCCCAAGATCATGAATGTTTTTCCTGTGGCAAAGAAAGGCACTTCAGACAGGAATGTAGACCAACTCCCCAAAATAATAAACACCTTTCTAAAAATGCCCTCGGTGTCAAAAAGGTTATCACTGGGCCAATCAATGCTGGTCTGTTCCAACACCGGGAAACTCCAAGTTGGGTGTTCCTACAGCCCCGGGTCAAGTGAAGGGACCTCAGTGAATACAACCCCAGTTCAAGAAATCTGACCTGCTACTGTTAAAAGTGCTAGTCAGGATTTGATCACAGCCAAAGAGGTCAACTATCAGTTCCCTCTAGTTGTCTACAAAATCAAAACAGGACATCTTGGACCAATACCCAAAGACACTCTGGGTCTCATTCTCCCCCACTCTAGCATCTCTGAATGGGGTTTATTTGTTGTACCAGGCGTCACTGATAGGGATTTTGAAGGACCCCTAATTATTCAAACCTGGTCTAATATACCATAGGTCCTTCCTGCAGGTGAATCTATCACTCAATTATTGTTACTTCCATTAACACAGATGGGTCCTTCTACCAACCCTCATAGTGGTGGTTTTGGTTCTACTCGAGTTGCTGCCTTAACTACCATTGTGCACTCACAGCCCCGACCCCTCTTAAAATGGGATCGCTTGTCCATAATGGCCTGATTGATACTGGAGCTGACATTACCGTTATTGCAAAGAAAGACTGGCCAGAAAGCTATCCCACCCAGCTAGTGCACGACATTTGAGGAGTTGTAGACTATGAGAAAGCGCAGAAAAGCCTTCAACCCATTGTTCTGGAAAGTCTAGGTGACTCTCCTAGACAAATCACAATCATTCCTTACATTCTGCCTATTCCCTTTTCCATCTGGGGTTGGGATCTCCTAAAAAAGGTCGATGCAAAATTGCAGACAAATTTATAATAAGCAATCTGACACAGCCTTGCCATTAACATGGCTCCCTGGACCACCTGTATGGGTTGATCAATGGCCATTGTCTAAAGAAAA